TTTGGAGCCTTTTGGGGCCTCTTGGGGACGTTTTGGGCTGTCTTTGGGCGCTCTTACGCCGTCGGGCCACTTCAGAGGCCACTTTGGAAGCCTTTCGCGGCCGCCTTGGGGCTCTCTTGGGGTCCTCTGGGGCCGTCTTGGGGGCTTCTTGGGCCGTCTTAGTGGTTTTTGTTGGCCGTCTCGGGGCCCTCTTGGGCCGTCTTGGGGTCCCCATTGAAGGCCTCTTGGGCCGTTTGGGGGCCTTTTTGGAGGCTGCTTGGGCCGTCATGGCTTTCTGAGAGCCGAAAAAGGCGAGAACGTTGAAATTGACACAGAATTATAGGAAAATCAAAGATTTTGGCCTCCGGAGGCGCTCTCGGGAGTCTTCTTGGGGGCCTCTTGGACCTTCTTGGGGGCCTCATGGGCCCTCTTGGGGCCATCTTGGGCCGTCTTGAGGCCGTCTTGGGCTGTCTTGGGGCCGTCTTGAAACCTTCCTGGGGCCCCAAAAGGCCCAAGAGGCCGAATTTGCTGATTTCTTATAGGTTTTTGAGCCCCAGAAGGGGTTCACCATCTTTGGTCGGTGGATGTGGCGTGGCGCTGGGGGGGGGTTAGGGGGGAGACATAATAATGTAACACAATGCAACACCTACCAATTATGCAAGCATTGGACACATTGGATCCATTGCATTAGGGCTTCCGCTCCGCTGCGCGACCTGCCTCCGGCAACACGTCACTTCCGGGCGTGGATTCTATAGGGTTACGCCACATCCGCCGACCCTTTTTATTCATCGGGGGCTATCGCCAGGTCTCGGGAGCTCTCTCGGAGGCTTCGCGGGGCGGCCTAGGGGCATCGTGGGCTGTCTGGATGCAGTGCGAGCGATGCCGCTGGAGGTTGTTGGTTGAAGCGTTCTCGAAGTATGAGTTCCAGAGAAAAGAGAGGCCGGCGTTCTGTAAATAATGCACGGAAGAGCTGAACAACTCAGAGGACAAATGGCGCGCAACGTGCAGAGGGTGGGCAACGAAAGCGGAGGGTGACGATGCGACGCGGCATGTGAGCGGCGGAAGCACGGATGCAGCGGGCGACGACGGGGCGCCGAAGAGGATTCGGACAATGTGGCGCGCGAAGCGCAACCATGTGAAAGCCAAGCAGAAGTCGCGGAGCGGCAACGCGAAATGGAACGAGAGCGTGGGCACAGTTCGGTGTACGAACGACAAGTGCCTGGCGCTTTACGACGGAAAAAGGGACATGTCGGAAGCTCAGAAGAAGCACGACGCAGCTGACCAGAGGTTGTGTCGGAAGTGCGCGGAGGATCGGGAGAGGGCGGCGTTGCGGGCGAATTTCGAAGCACGGAACCGAAAGCGGACAGCAGAGGCGGACGCGAAGCCGCTGACGTGCTGCGCGCCCGGGCGCGGGGCGTCTTTCTGGGAGGTCGGCCATTTGAACCGCGAACAAGTGAAGGGCCACCGGGCGACGAAAGGAGCAAGAGTGGTGTGCGGAAGCTTTGCCAAGTGGGGCATCACCGCGAAAGGTGTCGCCGCGGAGTCGAAACGGTTGAAGCGACTGCTGGTGCGTGCAGCATGCGAGAAGGAGTTCGAATGGCAGCCGCACGTAAGCGCCAAACAAGAGAGCGAGCACTTCACGAGGAAGAGTAAAGTTGTATGCGCGGAGTGCATCGCAGTCGGCTTCACGGCTCGCAGTACGCAAGCGTACGAGTGCTTCGGCGTTTGCAAGAGGAAGTTGCCGAAGTCGAAGTTCACGGTTGGACCGCATTTCGCGCGTGCCGTGGAAAGACGCACGTTGCGGTGCAAGGCGTGCGCGCGAGATCCACGTGAACGCTCGAGACAGCGCCCGAATGCTGGAAAGGGGAGGGGGGGGGGCAGGAGAGGGCAAGAACAACGATGATTGAGGTGAGGGGGGCGATAGCACAGGAGGAGCCTTACGCTGGCCTCGGCCCGCGCTGCCGCAGGGCGAAGGGGGTCATTGTTGCCGGGGGCCGTCGCAGACGCGCGACATGCCCGCGGCGTCGGCATCGCCATGTCTGACAGGACTGCTAAGCTGAGGGCCGTGTCGGGGCCCTCTTGAGAGCCTCTAGGGCCCTCTTGGGGCGGTCTTGGCGTTCTTGTGGGCCAGTGTCAACGCCGCGTTGACCGAAAAGGCGCATGTGCCCAGAATGATTGCGTCCTATAAGAATGGGACGATTTGGGCCTCTGGGGCCTCTCCCCTTGTTTTGTTGCGGCGCGCGCGTTCATGAGTCCGCGGCGCATTTGGGAGGCATTGTGGCTGCCGGCCGCAGGCACCGCGGCTGCCGCCCATTCCGCCATGCGTTGTGTTGGGTTTTGTTTGACCAGGCGATGTGGTAGAAAGGGAGAGGAGGAGGAAAAGGAGGAGGATGCGATGGAGGAAGAGGAGAAGGAGGAGGTCAAGGAAAAGGAATTCGGCGGTTTGGGTATCTTAGTGTTTCCTGAGAGGCGCACCGGGGGGCCTTTCGGGATGTCTTGACGGATTCTCGGTGCCTTCGGCCGCTCCCTTTGGCCCTCTTAACGGGCCTCCGGGGGCGGAAGGCTCGGATTTTCAGTTCGGGCTCCCCTTCTTGGGCCCCTCTTGGGGCCGCCGGGGGGTTCTCTTGGGCTGTCTTGGGCGCCTCTTGGGCCGTCTTGGCGCCTTCGTGGGCCGCTTTGGGGCCCTCTTGGGAGCATCTTGGGCCTTCTTGGAGCGGTCTTGGCGGCCTCGTGGGCCATTGTGAACGCCGCGTTGGCCGAAAAGGCGTATATGCCAAAAATGCACGCTTCCCTATAAGAATGGCACGATTTTGGCCTCCCGGGCCCCGCTTCGGCAGCCGGTTGGAAGCCTCTTGGAGCGTCGTGGCGCCCTCTTAGGCCGCTTGGGACCCACCTTGGGCGTCTTGAAGCGATCATTCGGCGACTTTGTGCTCTCTTGGGCCATCTCGGGGGGTTGCGTCGGAGGCTCCCAACCGAGCCCGGGGAGCCCAGACCGCCTCGGGCGAGTTCGGCGGAGGGTCGTCCACCACGAAGCGGGGGGGGGCAAATCGCCGGTTTGGGGTCCCGGGGGGGGGGTTATGGGGGGGGGGGACAATCTCACGCGCCTAGAGACCCGCAAGGGGTCGGCGGATTAGGGTGAGGAGGAGCAGGAGGAGGGACGACGACGTCAAGAGCGACAATAGCGAAGATGAGACGACGGCGAGGACAGAGAGGAGGAGCAAAGAGAAGCAAGAGGAAAGCATCCTCTGCATTTCCTCCTCTCTCTCTTTCTCCCCTCCCCCTTGGCCCGAGTCGTGGCTCGAAGCTCCGCGATTGGCCGCGCCGTGGCGCCTCCTCTTCGCAGTCGCCTCCTCTTCGCAGGATGCCTCGTCCGACCCCGCGGAAAGGGGGAGAGCAGGAGAGGGAGCGGATCGATTAATCTTAGGAGGACGCGGAAGGAGGAATGACGCGGGACTGAGGAGGACGGAAGAGGAGCAGGAGGATGGGTGGAGGAGGAGGAGGAGGAGGAGGGAAGGAGGAGGAGGAGGAGGAGGAGGAGGAGGAGGAGGGGGAGGAGGAGGAGATCGAGGAGGAGGAGGAGGAGGAGGAGGAGGAGTGGGAGAAGGAGGAGGAGGAGGAGGAGGAAGAGGAGAAGGAAAAGGAGAAGGAGAAGGAGGAGGAACACCAGCAGAAGAGTGAGAGAACGTGGAAACAAGGGTGGCGGGGCAAGAGAGGGGCACGAGGGGGGGGGGGCCCTCCGCGTTCGGGGCTGAATTCAAGGGGCGGAAAGCGGAGGCGGGAGGGAGGCGGCTCCTTGAAGGTTTTGTTATCACGTCTTCCCGCCTTGCCAGTGGTCGCCTTGTCGGCGCCCTGTGGGCAGCAAACGTGGGGCATCGAGGATTCCAGGGAACTGGCCCAAAAGGGGTCCTAAATTGTTCCTAAAATGCCACCGCCGGCCCAGCATGTGCGCGAGGGGTGCGTGTGTCATCGCCCCACGTTTATTTATCCCCTCCGCCCCCGTTAACGGACACCCGAGCTGCGCGGCATCTCGGCCCTGGTTTGTTTCCCTCTGGGACGGGGGCGCATCCCTCACTCGTGGGTCTGGGGGGACAAAGCTCTAGAAACAGTGTTCTTGGACGATGTGTGGCCTCTACCGTCGAAGTTACAGAATTCATAAGTGGCTTGCTGTGATGTTTTGTGATGGCAGGATGTAGTGGTTTCAAGACTTGCACTCTGGAGCGACTTGTGTTCTCAAAGTGATCCCCCCACGCGCTTGCATACCACCGCGGCCCATCAGACTTGAACTACCATCAAGGACGATCGTGAAATCAGCGCGCTCTTCACGCAAGGGTGCGGGTCATCGGGACCGCTGAAATAGTGTTATCGGACTATGCGCGAGCCCACGCTGTGACCCCAGACTGCGTCCTCAGCTCCAGGGCGTGCGTTCTTCAACAACTTCTGGCTTCACAGTGCAGTGCTAGAGCGATTGCTGACCATCGAACTTCCATGATTTGGCCTCTGGGATGGGCTTGTGATGGAATCAACCGCATGGACATAAACTTTGCGAAACTCCGCGCGGATTTCTTGGATCTGCGCTGGGCCCCCCTGGCGGCGCCTCCAGCGCCGCCCCCCTGGCGCGCTCCGCGCGCCAGGGCGGGCGGTCCATTCGCGTGGAGCTCCGAAAGCTTACTTGAATACTGTTGTTTTTACTGTCTGAACCCTTTGCGAAGCCCCGACGGGCCGAGGAACCTTCCCTCGCCCCCCAGGGCGAGAGGAGGGCCCTGCACGTGAGCACATGTGGTCCCCAGACGATTTGTTGTTGATGTGTGAGTTTCGGGACCTCTTGGCCCCCCAGGGCAGATTTCTCATGCCGAGCGGTTGTTTGACGGCCCCGAGGCCCGAGGCCAACCTCTGGAGGCTGAAGATGTCGGCAAACAAGCCGCTTCGACTTTTATCAAGGCGCCAAGTGTCTGGACCTCCCCTCAAGCCTCAAACAAACAATGGGGCGGGAATAGGTCTTGTTGCACGTCGCAGCTCTGCAGCGCCGCGCCTGCCAGAGTCTGCTCTTCTAGGTGAATCGCACGGCGGGCGCTGCTCGAGCACGAAGCGCCGCCGAGCCGAGCCGAGCGCCCCAGCCTCTGCCCCTGTGCCGCGGGAGCGCTTCGCAAAAGCGACCGCCTGCCCGTCGTCCTCCGCGCCCTCCACCCCTCACGCCAGGAGGAGGAGGAGCGCCTCCGACTGCGACGGGGGGCAGCACGCGCTTGCTCCGCCCCCCTCCTCCTCCCCACTCCTCCCCCCCCCAGGCCGTGGGGCTTCGGGGCGCTTCCTGGGTTACGCTCGAGGGCGAGGCGGAGCAGTGGAGCCGGAGGAGGGCAGGGAGGCAGGGAGGGAGGAGGCAAGAGCCCCACAGGAGTTGCGCCTCTGACTCGGACCTGCAGTCACTGCGGTGAAAGAGGGGCCGCATGGAGGGGCTCTGGCTCCTGAGGTCCAGGTCCTGGCTCGCCGAGGCCAGGAAGTCCCCGATTCGCCGCATCCTGGCCGTGCGTTCCTCATGGTAGCACGAGGTCTGCACCGCGCCTCGGCCCGCCCGCCGCCGCGGCCTGCCGCGCCGCGGCCTCCCCACGCCCCCGGCCGCGCCGCTGTGCCGAAGCCGGCCGCTCTCCTCCAGCTCAGCCCAGCAGCCTTCCCGACCCTCGATGTTTCAAGGGTTTCGGTTGTCGAGGTGTTCCGTTGTTTCCGGCGGTCCTCGGCAAGTTTCCAGCCTCAGGATGCTCTCCAGCAGCTGCGCCTCGCCGAGAGGCGTCCGGGGGCTGCCCAGGTCGTCCCGAACGACCGCCGGAGACCCGAGCAAGCTCCGGGCGGTGCAATTGTTTCAATCCGGGCGTTGGCGCCTGGCTGAGGGCCCCGAGACCTCACGGATCGGGTTTGGATCGAAGAATGCCGCAGAAAGATGGGGTCCAGGGCTTTGGTCGTGGTTGCTCGAGATGTTGTCAGAGTGAGGGGGCCGAACGGTCATTCATTATCCCTGGGTGCTTGGTTGAACAAGGAATTCGTAGTGAGAATTCTTCACGCTTCGCGTATCCCCACCAGCCCATTCCAAAACAGCAACTCTAGCGAAGCATGCCGACAGTCGTGTTTTTCAGGCGTGTTTCCGCCTGCCCCCGCATATCTCCCCTGTTCCTCCTTCCTCCCGCCTCCTTGTACATCCTCCTTGTGGTGGGAGCGGGAGAAAGGACGAGGCGTGAGGGGAGGGGTAGAGAAAGCGCTTTTTTTTTTATTTTTTTTTTTTTGGTCTTTCTCTTTCTCTTACCTTTTTTTTTCGTGTTTTTACTTTTTTTTTTTTTTTTTTTTTAGTTCTTCTTTTTCTCTTTTCTTCCTTTTTTTTTTTGTTTTTCCTCTTTGTTTTTATTTTTTTTTTTTTTTTTTATTCGGTTATTTTTTGCTCTCTTTCTTCTTTTCTTTCTATATTTTTTTTGTTTTTTTCTTATTTTTATTTTTCTGTTTTTACCTTTATCTTCGTTTTTTTTTTTTTTTCTCACCCCCTCTTCTTTCTTTTGTCCCTTTTTTGTATTTGTTTCCTTTCTTCAACTCTTTTCTTTCTTTCCCCTGGTCCTCTTTCCTAGTGGGTTTGAGGTCGTTCGGGATTCTCGTCATGGTGTGAGGGGTCGTTCGGGGGCCCTTTTTCCTGGTGTGAGTCGTTCGGGCTCTTCGTGGTGTGAGTGGTTCGGGCTCTTCGTCCTGGTGTGAGTCGTTCTGGCTTCTCGTGGTGTGAGTTGTTCGGGCCCCTCGTCCTGGTGTGAGTCGTTCGGGCCCCTCCTCCTGCCCGTCCAGAAACGACGCCCAGGCGAGTAGAGGGTCGTCCTGATGGGCTTTTCGGCGTCTTGGGTGCCTCGGGGGGGCCTCTGTGGGCCGTTTGGGATCCTCTTGGGGGCCTCCTGGGGGCCTCTTGGGGCCATCTTGGGGCCTCTTTGTGCCTCCTGGGCGCTTCTTGGGGCCATCTTGGAGGAAATCGATCAAAGAAGAGGGGAGCTTTACTTAGCGCTGCCCCCTCAGAAGGCCAAAATGGGGCCAAAACCTTAGTAAAATCAATGATTTTGGCTTGAAAGAAGAGGGGAGCTTTAATTAGCGCTGCCCCCTCAGAAGGCCAAAATGGGGCCAAAACCGTAGTAAAATCAATGATTCTGGCTTCAAAGAAGAGGCGAGCATTTCCGTCAGTCCCCCCGTCGGGGCCAGAATCTTCGTGAGGGGTGTCGTTTTTTAGCCCTCCCAGGAGTCGAAAAAGACCCCTCCAACCACCCGCGAAAGGCCCCCTCCAGGTCCAGGGGGAGGGGGTAGGGGGAGGGGTAAACCCCTCCCTCCCCGAAGGGGAAGAAGGGGGGTTGAGAACAGAGAGAGCTCGCTAAACCACTCACGCCCAAAGGGCTGGTGGGATTATGCTCGTTGTTGTTGTTGGTGTTGTTGTTGTTGTTGACGAAAACACTCACTGGCGCCCGGCCGACCCCCCCCCCAGCAACAGCAACAGAGCAACACAGGAGAACCTCGAGAGCGTTTTGGGCTTCCTGGAGGGCCTCTACCGCCTCCTGGAGCGCCTCTAGGGCCTCCTGGGGAGCCTGTGGGACCTCCTGGCGAGTGTCTCGGGCTTCATGGAGAGCATCTTGGGCCTCCTTGAGCGCGTCTTGGGCCTCCTGGAGCGCCTCTGTGGCCTCCTGAAGCGCGTCTTGGGCCTCCTGGAGCGACTCTGGGGCCTCCTGGAGAGCGTTTTGGGCTTCCTGGAACGCCTCTGGCGCCTCCTGGAGCGCCTCTGAGACCTCCTGGGGATGGCGATAATAATGATGACGATGATAATGAGAATGATAATGACCATGATGATGATGATGATGATGATGATGATGATGATGATGATGATGATGATGATGATGATGATGATGATGATGATGATGATGATGATGATGATGATGATGATGATGATGATGATGATGATGATGATGATGATGATGATGATGATGATGTAAGTGATGCACGGGAATGATTGTGAATGTCTGCCGCCGTTTATCTCACAGGCACTTCTCTTCGGAAGGAGGCATCGTTGATGGCAGGGCGGCTCCTCGGCGCTGGCGCGCAGTGGGCTGCGGCCATCGGCGGGCAGGCGCTGGGCACCTGGCTGGGCGGCACCAGCCAGGGGCACGGGTGCGACTGCTCCTGCCACTTCGAGGCCTCGCCAGACGAGGCGCTGATCGGGCTGCTCAAGGGGCAGCTCGACAGGTGCGGGCCAGAGCACCTCCACGGGCAGCCCGCCTTTGCACCTGACTGCCCAGCCTGCGCCCCTTGCCCGCCCGGGCACACCGGGCTCGAGGTGGTCCTGGCGCTGCTGTTGGGGCTTGTGCTGGGCGCGGTGCTGCGCGAGGTCGCCTGTGTGTTCGGCCGTCGCTCTGCTCCCGTGACCTCGGAGTTGATTGATGTCAGCAGCGCGCACGGCCAAGGCGTTGGAGAGCCTATCGATCGGGTGCAGGGTCCTCGCCTACTACGATCGAGACGACAACTACTGGCATGAAAGATATATCATCGGGAAGGTTACCGACACGTGCTTCATTGTGGTCACCCCACACTTCGACATCTACGAGGAGGACTTCTCGGAGAGTCTCGCGCTCTGCCTCATCGGCCCCCGAGGGGGGCTGCCCACCAAGCTCAATGGGCACATCCTGCGCCTGGACATGGACAGGTTCAGGCGCAACGAGGCGCGACTGCTCGGGGAGGGCCGTCAGCTGGCCAAGGAGATCCGCGAGGCCGAGGGGCTCCCAGAGGGCCCGCCTGGCGCCCTCGCCGACGCCGCCGCCGACGGGGATGCTGCCCAGCTTCCCCTGCCGCCGCCCCCAGGCGCCCCTGGGGCCGCTCAGGGCGGCGCTGCTCGCGCTGGTGGCGCTGGCAAGTCTGTTCGCTGGGTGGCCGCCGAGGCGCGGGCTGGCTACAAACCTGGAGACGAGGTCGGGCTGCAGCAGCCCGAGGCCGTTCTGGGCGACCGTGGCGTCTGCGAGCTCACCGACGGCACCGTGCTGGCTGTGGCCAAAGAGGGGACGCTGGAGGGTACCGCCACGCCACGGGCGGCAGCCGAGCAGGACTTGCGGACGCTTCCTGTCAGGTACGACGCGCGTGGCGTCCGCGTCAGGGATTTCACCGATGCGGTGGATCGGATGTCCTCGACCGCCATGCCCGACTGGCCTATCAAGGGCCCCCGCACGACCCTGTGGCTGGTGCAGCAGTTCAAGCGACTCGGTCAGACGCCCTTGCAGCGGCACCAGTGGTGGCGCCAGACTCAGAACCTCACGGCAGCGGATGCAGGCGTTGACGAGCACCAGTTCTTGTCGGAGCTCCTCGAGATGGGGGCTCAGACGGACCAGCTTAATGAAGGTGAGCTGGCAGTGTACGAGACGGTCGCGAGGCGCTACCAGCTCTGGGAGGAGATCTACGCCAACAGGCTGCGCGAGCACGAGAGCGGTGCGCTGCGCAGCTCAGGGAGTTCGGCGTGGCTGGATGAGCGCGAGATCTTCCTGGGCCAGGAGCGGGGCAGAGGAGGAGCGCTCGTCTGCCCTGAGCTGCAGACCTGGGTGGCGGACCGCCTCCAGGCCGAGGCAGCGGTGCTCAAGGAGCGCCGCAAGGGTCGCGAGGAGAAGATCCTGGCTCGCGGTGTCGGCCCGGGTGGAGGAGATGACGACAGTGGAGCCCCTGCCAAGGCCAGGTCAAAGGCCAAGGCGAAGGGCGTGGCTGAGAGGGCCTGACGCCCTCATCCTGTTCGAGAAGTGGCTTGGTCGCCCGCCTGCCCCCGAGCGGTCGACTATTTTCAAGGGGAGGCGCCGCGTGGGCGCTATGTTTTCAGATGAGGACGTCGGAGGCCGTCACCGAGACCTTCTGCCGATTCCTGTTGGCGCAGAGCTTCGTTCCTTGCTCAGTGGTGAAGGCGCATGGGGCACCTCTCCATCGGCGAAGCGGAGATCAGCCACGAGGAGGCGGCAGGACCAGTGGCTTCTCGAGGGCATCGCCTCCCTCAATGAGCTGGGCGGGCAGGGGCGACAGGTGCCCAGCCACGCCCCGCTGACGGCGGCCCAACGTGTGGCCGTGCGGCGGCTGGCCTCGCTTGACGGCAAGTGGTCTCCGCCCGTTGATCGTCCGAGTCCCCATGCGGCATGGTCGTTGCTGCAGGGTCTCAGGCCTGGCTACTCTGAAGCCGAGGCCGCAGGTGCTCGAACAGTCTACCAGCGGGGGAACATCTCGCTTCCCAAGATCGGTGCTGGCAAGGTCCCCCTCGTGGACGTCCTTCCTGCTGATCTGCAATCCAAGCTGGAGTCTGGGCGCGGGCTGTTGCGTTCCCCTGAGGAGGCAGCAGCGCTAATTCGTGATGCAGGTGCTCCTCGCGCCATGGACCCAAAGCTGGGCCGCCTGGGCTTCGACTATGGCCACGCGCTGGGCGAGCTCTTCGCCTCGGGGGTCATTGAGTGCAGCTCAGAGCCGGTGCTCGAAGAGGCGGGCATGTTCTTCGTCGCCCGCAAGGATAAGCGGCTGCGTCTCATCTGCGACACCAGGACTCCCAACATGCACTTCACTGTTCCTAACCACACCGCCCTTGCGACGGGCGAGGCTCTCTCCTCACTGGAGGCGTCGGGGGTGAACTTCATTGGCATGAGTTCTGGAGACGTTGACTGCTGTTTCTATCAATACTCACTTCCGCCCTGGTGTAGGCGCTACTTCAACCTGCCGACTATTCAGAGTCGCTTCTTGCCGCTCGAGGTCAGGAACGCCTGTGGGTTGTCAGGGAAGAGCGGCCAGGTCCGTTTTCGTTTCAAGGTCGTGCCGATGGGATGGAACTGGGCCGTTCACTTCATCCAGGAGGCTCACCTCCACATCGTCAAGTCAGTTTTGCCGTCCCAGCCGTGGTGCGAGGACAAGCACCCGGGGATAGACCCGAGCGTGGAGGACGCCAAGGTTTTGTATATCGACAATTTCGCCGTGCTGTCTGCCTCGCCCCAGCGCGCTGCCCAGGCCGCCTATGACATGAAGGCGGCGCTCGCGGCCAAGGGAGTGGTGTCCGAGTTGGACCCCCAGGCCAGCGAGGTGGGCGAGCTGCTCGGGTGCGAGCTTGACCTTCGCACAGGCTGCTGGCAGGTGTCTGGCCGCCGTCTGTGGCGCCTGTATGGCGCGCTCGAACGCCTTCTCTCCCGGAGAGTCTCGGGCCAGGAGCTGGAGCGCCTGATTGGTCACATCGTGGCAGCGCTCATGCTGCGGCGCGAAGGTCTGGCTTTGCTTCATTCTTCGTACGAGTTCGCGCAGGCCTCCTACACCAAGCGGCAGCCCCTCTGGAAGAGCGTCCTCCGCGAGCTGGGCTGGGTCAAGGCGCTCCTGCCCTGCCTCAGGTCGGACACCAGACGGCCCTGGTCGGAGCTCGTCACGTGCTTCGACGCCTCCCCTTGGGGGTATGGAGTCGTCGAGACCGAGTGGGACCTGGGCGACGTGCAGCGCGTGGGGGGGGTGTCTGAGCGCGCCCGCTTCAGAGGCGTGCTCGCGACCGAGGGCGCGCCTCGCGAGAGGGCGTTCGAGCACGAGGTCGCCTGCGCGCCCGACCCCGCCCTGCTGCTCGTCGGGCGCGCCGCCCGCTTTCCGGAGGTCAGCCACAGCAAGCTGCAGTCCAGGACCTGGCGAGTGGTAGGCTGCGGAAGGTGGAAGCGGAAGGAAGCGATCCACGGGCTCGAGGGCGCCGCCCTCACCTGGGCCGTGAGGCGGGCCGGCAGAGATGCGCGCCAGCACGGCGCCCGCAGGCTTTTTCTGGGCGATAACATGTCTCTCACCCTTGCGGCTGCAAAGGGTCGAGCGGCTAATCATCGTCTTCTGGGAGTCTGTCGTGTGCTGCTTGCTGTGGGTATCGCCGCCGATCTTAAGATCCAGGTGAGGTGGATTCCGTCCGAGTGGAACCCAAGTGATGCACCCTCCCGTCGCTTTCAGCCCAAGCCTCGCGGCCCCGACGGGGTCCCCGCGGCTGCCGACGCCGGGCGGAATGGAGGTGGCGACGCTGCAGGCAAAGCTGCCGACGCCGGCGAGCCCAGCGAGTCGGCCCCGCCCCCGCTCCGCCCTTCGCGAGCGGAGCTTGCGCAGGAGCCGTTCGCCCTGCAGCCGCACGGTGGAGCGCCTGACGGTGCAGCAGCCGCGGGGCAATGGCAGCCCCCCTACGGGCCGCCCGCAGGCGCGGCCGCGGTGGCGCTCACCTCGTCGCCAGGCACGCGCCGCAGGCGTCCCGGCGCTGGCTGGGCCAAGGAGCAGGCTCGTCGCGGCTGGGCGGCGCGCAAGGCGTGGCCAGGATCCCTGGGAGAGAGACCTCGACCAGAGGAGGCGGCGCCTGTGCCCCCGCCAGACGCGGCTTGCGGCGGCCAAGGTGCGCTTCGCCACGCAGCAGCTGCATCTTGGAGCTGTCCTTGGTCTGGTTCGCTGGCTGTGTCTGGGCTGCCTCCCGGACTGGAGCCGCCAGACCTGGGACGAGACCCTCGCCGAGTACATCGAGTCGATCTACGACAGGGGGGGCTCGAAGGCGTCGACGCAGCGGCTGGCCCCGGCACTGTTGTGGGCGGAGCCCCACCTGCATACGGCTGGTATCCGCGAAGTCTTCCCGCTGACCCACCAGACGCTGCGAGGATGGGGGGTGCTGGAGCCCTCCAAGTCCAGGCCGCCCGTGCCGTACCTCGTGATGCTGGCGGCGGCAACCTGGCTGTGCCAAGCTGGAAAACCGTTGAGCGCCCTCGCCATCGTGATAATGTTCGAGACCTACACGCGCCCATCGGAGGTTCTGGCTTTGCGAGCCCGCCAGGTGGTGCTCCCCCTTCCGGAGGAAGGTGGCGCCTCAGCCTTTCTGACCTTTGTGGTGCGAGCATCGGAGTACGAGGTCCCCACAAAGACCAACGAGTACGACCTCTCAGTGCCCCTCGACCTCCAGAGGCAACAGTGGCTTGTGAAGCCGATCTCCTTCGTTCAAGCCCTTCGCGAGCCCGACGCGCTGTTCCTGGGCCTGAGCTACACAGAGCTGGCGGAGGACTTCCAGAGCGCGATCGAGGCTCTGGATGTGGGTGTACTCAGGCCCACCCTCTACTCCCTCCGGCATGGAGGGGCCAGCCAGGACCGCAGCATGGGCGTCAGAAGCTTAGGCGGCGTCCAGCAGCGCGGGGGATGGAAGACGTTCAAGTCAGTGCTCAGGTACGAGAAGCATGGCCGTCTGTCCCTCGAGCTTCGCAAGCTGTCGTCCAGGCAGCGCGAGGCCCTGCGAGCCAAAGGACAGGACTGCGCGCTCGCCTTCAACAAGTCCTTGGTGCTGCACTTCGCTCCGCGCCGCACCAGTCCCGCGCATGCATAGAAGTCTTCTCTGGATGTGGGGAATTGAGTAAACACCTGAGGCAGAGAGGAGAGGCGGTCATCGAGTGGGATCTTCGCCACGGTGCCCATTTTGATCTGACTCGCCCGGCTGTTTTTAAGGTTTTGAGAGGTTGGATTTCTTCTGGCCTTGTAAAGCTCGTGTTTCTTGGGGCGCCCTGCAGTGGGTACTCGAGGGCCCGACGGGCCCCTAGGCACAGCAAGATGCCTTCCGCCCTCAGAAGCCCCTCGTGTCCCATGGGTCTTCCAGGTCTTTCGGGCAAGGACCTCGAAAACCTCACTGTCTCCAATAGGCTAGGGTGGGTGTCCCAGCGAATTCAACGCCTGTGTTATAAGCTGAATGTGCCAGGAGCCGAAGAAAATCCCTGGCAGAGCTTTCTGTGGCTTCGCCCTGATCGTCGCTCCTTCGCCAAGCTCCCTCAGGTGTGTGATAAAGTTGTGGACTACTGTGCCTGTGGGCGCCCCTTCAGAGCTCGCACTCTTGGCTGACAGTCTGCACAAGTCGTGTATAGCCCAGCAGTCCATCGGAAGGTGGAAACACATGCGAGGAATATAACTCCCCAGTTCAATGCTTGAGGTCGGGCTTTTTGAAGGTTGGCAAATCTGTGTCGCACTAGCCAGCCTAGCTTGCCCGTGCTTCGTTCGTTTCCTCAAGCAGCATGTGCCACTGGCAAAATGGACCAATCATGTAAGTGATGCACGGGAATGATTGTGAATGTCTGCCGCCATTTATCTCACAGGCACTTCTCTTCGGCCCTCGCCAGCCCAATGCCTCCTTTAATCCGTGCCTGGAGCAAATCTGTGTCGCACTAGCCAGCCTAGCTTGCCCGTGCTTCGTTCGTTTCCTCAAGCAGCATGTGCCACTGGCAAAATGGGACATCATGATGATGATGATGATGATGATGATGACGATGATGATGATGACGACGACGCGATGGTGATCGTAGATGATGATGATTTGTGGTGGTGGTGTGTGAGGACGAATGATGACGTGACATGGACGATGTGATCATGTCGAGGATAGACGATGATTGAGGAAGATGCTGATGATGGGTGAGGGATGGCGGAAGAGATGACAACGACGATGATGACGATGATGAGGAAGATGCTGATGATGATGATTGCGAATGGTGATGATTGATGACGATGGGATCGAGACGCGAGAGATATGATGATCTTTTGCGGGATGATGATGACGTTGGGATAAACGTGGGAAGGTTTCTGTCGGTCGCGGCGTGTTATGAGGAGTCCGGAGGTCTTTTGGAGCCGTCTAGGGGGCCTCCTTTAGGGGTCTCTGGTCCTATGGGGGCTTCTTGCAGGCCTCTTGGTGCCTCTGGGGGGCCCCTCTTCGGGCGGAAGGCTCGGATTGTCGATTCGCGCCCCCCCTCTTCGCTGGTCGCCTGAGATGGGGGTGCTTATTAATAAGGAGCTTGTGGGAGGGGGCGCTTGTTAATACCAGCTGCCTGCGGCAAGTCCCGCCACCGTGCCAGGCCATGATGCTGGGCGCCGCTCGTTCGAGGGGGCAAAGGAGGCCGTACTCGCGAGGGGTGCGCAACATGATAATGATGATGATGACGATGATGATGATGATCAGGATGATAATTGATGATGACGACGACGATGACGATGGCGATGACGATGATGATGATGATGGTGGTGGTGGTGATGCTGATGATGACGACGATGACGATGACGATGCCGATGGTGATGATGATGAGGGTGATGACGATGACGATGACGATGCCTATGTGATGATGATAGTGGTGATGATGATGACGATGACGATGGCGACGACGATGACGCTGATGATGATGGTGGTGATGATGACGATGATGATGATGCTGATGGACGACGTGGATGTGGTTGGTGATGATGACGATGATGATAAGGTGGACGAGGATGGTGATGATGATGCCGATGGCGACGATGATGATGAAGATGAGGACGATGATCATGATATGGATGATGATGAGGAGGATGACGTGGGTGTGGATGATGATGACGATGATGTTGACGATGATGGTGACGCGTGAGAAGATGTGAGCAAAGATGGATGAGAAAGAGATGATGAGGAGGAGGGACGAGGAGTCCGGAGGAGGAGGGGAGGAGGAGGGAGGGCGAGTAGAGGTTTTATCCAGTTGCCTGCGGCCTGCCCGCTGACGAGGATGCTGATGGTGATGATGATTAAGGAGGGTGAGGAAGATGGTGGAGGATGGTGATGATGATGATGATGATTGCTGACGATGATGGTGGTGGTGATGGTGATGATGAGATGATGGTGGATGATGGTGAGTACGATGATGACGATGATGGTGATGGTGATGGTGATGATGATGATGGTGATGGTGGTAAGGACGATGATGACGATGACGATGACGTGGATGATGATGTCGAGGATGACGATGATGAGGAAGATGCTGATGATGGTGATGCGAATGGTGATGGTGATGACGATGACGACGACGATGACGATGATGATGATGGTGGTGATGATGATGACCGTTGGGATATCGTGGGATGTCTGTCGGCGGCGTGTTTGAGGCAGTTCGGAGGTCTCTTGGTAGGACTCCTACGAGGACTCCTACAAGGATTCCTACGAGGATTCCTAGTTGGACTACTGGGAGTCCTACGAGGATTCTTAGTAGGACTACTAGGACTCCTACGAGGACTCTTAGTAGGACTACTAGGACTCCTACGAGGGTTACTAGTAGGACTACTAGGACTCCTACGAGGATTCCTAGTAGGACTACTAGGACTCCTACGACTCCTACGAGGATTCCTAGTAGGACTACTAGGACTCCTACGAGGACTCCTAGTAGCACTACTAGGACTCCTACGAGGATTCCTAGTAGGACTACTAGGACTCCTACGAGGATTCTTAGTAGGACTACTAGGACTCCTACGAGGATTCTTAGTAGGACTACTAGGACTCCTATGAGGATTCTTAGTAGGACTACTAGAGGAATCCTAATGAGGATTCGTAGTTAGGACGAGTAGGAATCCACGAGGATTCTCAGTAGGACTACATAGGTTCCTATGAGGATCCCGAGTAGGACTAGTAGGACTTCCTACGAGGATGCTTAGATTAGGACTAGTAGGCTCCTGTTGAGGATTCCTAGTAGGACTAGAGGGAACTCATACGAGGTGTCCTAGTAGACTAGTAGGACCACTACGAGGATTCTTAGTAGGCCTACTAGGGACTCCTACGAGGATTCCTAGTAGGACTACTAGGACTCCTACGAGGATTCCTAGTGGCAATACTAGGACTCCTACGAGGATTCCTAGTCGGACGGACTACTAGGACTCCTACGAGGATTCTTAGTAGGACTACTAGGACTCCTACGAGGATTCTTGGTAGGACTACTAGGACTCCTCACACCTCTTAACCTATGAGGATTCCTAGTAGGACTAGTAGGACTCCTACGAGGATTCTTAGTAGGACTAGTAGGACTCCTATGAGGATTCCTAGTAGGAAAAGTAAGACTCCTACGAGGATTCCTAGTAGGACTAGTAGGACTCCTACGAGGATTCTTGGGATTCCTATGAGGATTCCAGTAGGACTAGTAGGAATCCTACGAGGACTCCTAGGAGGACTGTTACGGGGACTCCTACTTCGAGAATATCATCCTTACGGTTGTCGCAGTATTCCGAACAGGTATAAGCGAAGATCGCTGCGGAAGCTCGGCTCCACGGAACGTCTTTGGATGTACCTGTTGGGAACACTGCGACGACCGTAAGGGTTGAACCCCTTTTTTTTTTGTTTGTCGGGGTGCGTTGCTCTGTTGCCGTGTTGCTGGGGGGGGGGGGGTCGGCAACAGTGCACCAGTGAGGGTTTTCGCAACCGGAGCCGAAACCGGGAGCTGGCACACTGGCTCCCAGTGCGCCAGTGTGTGTTTATGCCTTGTTGTTGTTGTTGTTGTTGTTGTTGTTGTTATTATTGAACTCTCACTCTTGAAGAATAATTATTGTTGATCCCCCCCCCTCCGGTGCACATTGTTTTTTTCAATTGAAGTGCCCCCCCGGGGTTCGCACTTTGTTTTTTGTCAAGGAAAGTCTTCCTTCTCAAACTGGCCCCTGGGCCCCCGGGTTACAACAACAACGGCTCCCGCTTGAGACGTCCTTCGATTTTTTACTCAGGACCCTGCCGTCCCGCTGAGACTTCCGCGCGATTTCACTCAGGAAAGGCGCTCCCGTCTGAGGACTCCTGCAATGTATCAAGTACCCCGCTCCCCGCATTGAGACATTCCGTGAATTTACGTTGTGGAACGGCGCTCCCGCCTGAGGGACTTCTTAGAATTTGTACTCAGGACCCCCGCTCCTGCTTGACATTTCCGCGCAATTGACTCAGGTACGGCGCTCCCGCCTGAGACTTCCTCGCAATTTAGTGAGGACCCCCGCTCCCGCTTGAGACTTCCGTGCAATTTGCTCAGGAACGGCGCTCCCGCTTGAGACTTCCTCGCAACTTAGTCAGGGCCCCCGCTTCCGCTTGAGATTTCCTCTTACAATGTACTCAGGCATGCGCTCTCGCGTGCGACGTTCCTCACAAAATCTATTCTGGAATGCGGTTCGGCGCTTCAGGACCACGCACGCGCCAAGGACGCCTTCACAAACGTGCGTATTTCCCTCTTCCTTAGTCCCTTACCCCCTCCCCTTCCTCCATTCCGACGGACACTCTCCTCTTGCAGGGCCCGCGCCAATTCCAATGGCGGGCAGAGAGATGTACGCCCCCGAAGGATTGTCCGCCCGTTTTGGTTTGCCCGTGCGTCTAAGCCCGCCGGCCCCAGCAAAGAGAAATAATCCCCCCGAAAGGGGTGTGATCGAAGACGAAGAGGGCGAGTATCGAGGGTGTAGGGTATACGTGTTGAATGACTCGAGGGCAAGCGCGGGCAAGTAAGAGCGTACAGCCTTAAAATGGTTGTTGTTGTTGGTGGTGTTGGTGTTCTCGTTGTTGTTGTTGGTGGTGTTGTTGTTGTTGTTGTTGTT